AATGGAAATTTTGTAAAGGGCTGTATTGAAAGCTTTTCAAAAAAATACTGAAGGATTGGACATCAGTGATCTAAAGCTTTGTTAAAAATAAGCCTAATAGATTCCTTTTCTCTGTGGGTAATGAGGTCCAACATCTGTTCACATTTAACATGTTGTTAATTTAGAGTAAATGTCAGCTAAAATAATCACATGAACAAGAGAGGAAAAAAAAGTGCTATTAGATTATTTTGATCATCTTCCAGAAAATGTAGTATTTCTCTCTAAATCTGTTAAGTTACTTTTAAAAGTTTCTGTCATCTTCCCTTGGGAACTGGTATTTACATTACTTTATTAGTAAGGATGTATTTTTTTTTCTTACTGTTTTATTTCCTTGGTGTTTTATTTCCTTTGCTTTCTTCCACAATTCTATCTAAACACTAATATCTGATACTGAATTTTCTCTTTCTGCAGGGAGTTTGAGTTCTACACAAATCTAGGTTGTTAGTCTCTGTGCATTTTTATTTTCTCTTTTTTCCCATTCCTCACACAAAAATCATTTACTTCTTTTTCTTATTCCTAGCAGTGACTTCTCAGATTTAATGTAGGACTCCAGTCACACACTGTATAGCTCTTCAATGAAAACATGCATGACCATGCCTATATTTAATCCCAGCTTCTTATATCTCCTTTCTAATGTTGTTAACGTAACTAAAGCAGATTGCATGTTTAATTTATTGCTCACTGTGACATCATTTTCCCTTCAACATCCAAGGTCTAGGCTTCCCAGGAGGTACTGGGAAGTACCTGATCATTCAGGAGGGTCAGGATTTCATTAACAATGAGCATAGAATTTGCAAAAGCCTACTTTAGGAAAAATGACTTTTGAAAGAACCATCGGATTTCAGGAATAAGCTGCCAGAAAAAAGCAACCTGTATATAGACTCTACTAGAGAAATTATATCAGCAAACCACTCTAACAAGTGTCATAATTTCTATAAATAAATGACTAGCATTCATTAATTCCCACTGATTTGGATTTCTAGTCAAAATATGGATACCTCTCAGACTCATGAATAGATTCCTATTTGTGTTCTTTCTTTAAAAATTACTTTCAGAAAGAAGATAATAGCAACAAGATTTATTCTTGTACTGAATTTTTCCATGTACAGTGCCCAGCACAAAGGGGTTCACTTCCATGCTTAAAACTCCAAGGCACAGCTCTCACATAATAAAAGTTAGATAGTGTCATTTTCCTTTCCAGCCTGTTGTTGGTCTCTCAACCAGCTCATACTCTAAGCAATGAGGGAACATAAAATGCAGCCTAAATTGTTTTAACAACTTTTTTAGCACAATATTCCTGGCTTAATTTTCTTCAACCAAACTGTGCTATCTATGATTCTTGCTGTGTTGTGAGAAACTGATATATGTTATAATTGCTGTGTTGTTTACTAAGATAATTTTACCTCCCCTTTAAATGTTGTTTTTTTTTAAAATTTGTACCTGCTAATTTTAAGATTTACAGGATCCATATCCTTCCATCTGTAGTGTCTTAATTCTCCTCTTCATTTAATCTGAAATTTTATACTACAACTGTGATAGCTGATAGTCAGCTTCTCCAAACAGTAGATGAATATATTTATTTAAAAAATAAATCTGTTTTGATGATTTTAGGAATTCCAAGGTAAAATCTGATTTCTGCAGGCAGCGTTTTTTTTCTCATAACTACTGTTTGGTTTTTGAGTGTCGTTTTTTTTTTTTTTTAAATTTATTCTTTTAAAAGATATTTAAGACATACAAGGATGAAAAATTATTGTAAATTGTATTTATATTATGACAGTGCATTATTAGATTGTTGATACCCATTCAACACTTTATTCATTATATGTTTCCTAATATTTTCCTTTTCCTTTGCTTTGCTCACACTTCACTATGCACACATGTTCAGATTCAGCTTGAGATTCGAGTACCTGAAGTTATGTTTCTGATGGTAGACATGACGTGCTAGATTTCTAAACTGTCAACTTAGAGATGGTGATATAGTCAACATAGGCAATGGAGCCTGGAGGGTAACTCAACTCCACCTGCTTGTGAATATGTTAGTACCCTCAGGGGTATTTGATGCTAGCAGCAGTGGAAAGAAGTTGCTGCCTGATTACATTTCTGAAAGAACACAGATTTCTTGTTGGTCCTATGTCACATCTGCCATGAGAATGTTTCAGGCATCCAGGGGCATCTCAAGTGGCCCTAGACACCTGCATTTAGGCAGATGAACAAACCTTTGTAATTAGTGTATGTTCAAAAATATATAGGAAATAAAGAAGTCACATCTCAGTCACGAACCAGATACAGTAAAAGACACAGACTTCAGTCTAATTATGACAACACATAGAATGTAAACTCTATTGAAAAATGATTGATTTCTGAATTTTTGAAATAACATACCATCCAATTTCTATTCATTCCAGTGGATGGCTATGAGTTTTACAAGTTTCACATTTCCTCTGACTTTTTTTCAGATTTCTGAATATTTTGTGTTACTTTTAACAAATGTGTCTGTTAGTTTTTGTTCATACTTCAAGAAGCAGTACTTACAGCAGCAGGTAAAATAGCAGCTAAAATTAAGCTGAATTTATTATTCATTTATATCATGAATCTTTCACCCTCAGACACTTGACTTTGCAGCAGAAAGGATACTTAGGGATTCTTTTTCTATGAGGAAGCTAAACTTAAATTAAACTTAAAGTGGAAGTTGTGCTTGCTTGCCATAAGGTGTTGATAGGTAGAACCAAGGGATACAATATGGAATGAATTTATTTCATTAGTAAAACTGAAATTATGAAAACTACCAAAGCGTGACTATAGGCAGGAAAACAGAAAAGGAGAAATTTAAAAGATTAAATGAAATATTTCTGCTGGGAAGACTCATTTAGAAAGTTGAGAAATCTATGTTAGAAAATATTTCCTCCTTTTCTAAAGGTACTAAAGCAGAAATAGCTTTCACTTAGGTGTTTCTGGAAGTAATTGCTTCATCTTTAAAGGCTATACAAATATGAATGAGCCAGAAAGTCTCCAGAAATGCTCTTAGCTGGAGCTGACATGCATTCCCAGAGGCAAGATGTCAAATCAAACTGGCACGGGACCCAAAATGCTGCAACACTGAACAGTATATATCTAGCGTATTTCACAAAACAACAGCTGTTTACATTACAGCTCAGTGCTTTTCAGATGGAGAGAAGCACATTAGCCTGGGAGAAATGAGAACTGGTGAATCTGAGCAAGCCTATACAATGAGCCTGAACCAACCATGCCAAGATTTAGGAAAGATTTTGTCAAAAAGGCCTGGAACTCCATGCTGCATTTGCTGCCACTAAAGATGAGCATCTGTGGAGCTGTCAGTTTGTTCTGCCTTTCCTGCTAAGTCCTGCTCCTGATTCGTGCATTAACTTCAAGACTGGTTTTGAACAGTAAACAATGAACCAATATTATCATCTGTTCTTTAACCACAGCTGTTAAAAACCTGACAAAATCACCTGCCTCATCACAGTCTATTAGCCTACTGTGCTATACAGCTGTTACACAAGAGCTATATACCGAATACAAAACAAATTCATGGAATGGTGGATTAGCAAGTCCAACATAGGTCCAATTGCTAAGATTATTAAGTAGTTTAGGCTAGAAAGGATGTCTGAAGGTCATTCACTTCAATCCCTCAGCTCAAAGAACCAGTTTCAGAGTTCATTCAAGCTCCTGGGGCTTCTAAGTCCCAAAATTTTGGAGTGTATCTGAAGACAGATATTCCACAACTTCTCATTCTACTAGTGACTCATGCTGTGAAATACTTTCTTTTGTTTATGTCCAATTGCAACTACTCTTGCTGAAAACCACGACTGTCAACTTCTGTCTATTGGCTGTGCATACCTCAGGAGAGTCTGTCTGTCTTCTCTGTGCTGCCATTTTATAAAACTGGAGACAACAAAAAGATCTCCTCCAAGCAACCTCTCCTGAGCCAGCTTTTTCAGCCTCTCCTTCTACATCTTGTGCTCCAGATCCAAACAGCTCAGGGTGTTACTACTGATTTTGCTCCAGTCTGTTCATGTCTTTCCTGTCTGTGAAAGTCAAAACTAGACAGACTGCTCCAATAAGGGAGAACAGTCCCTTTTCTTGACTATTGTATATTTTGTTTTTATTTAGAGTACTTAAATGAATCAAGCTGGGAATGAATTACTGAATAAACAGCTCTTCTTTCTAAACTGTAAGATAGAGAGCATATATCAAGTATTGCTTTTTGTATACGATGAGATAGAATAAAATCCAGGAAATTAAACTCATTGCTACATTATTGTCAAAGATGGAAAAAAAAGGACCTGTTTCTATTTTATTGTCTAAGTTTTCTTCTAGAACATTTCGGAGAATCAGTATATTTCTATCAAAACATAAAAACAAATTTGGGATTTTTTAGAGAATAACATGTTAGAAAGCAATGTGGCAGAAATTTAAGATGAGAGACCTCAAGAGCTGGTCATCATGCCACTCTGATAAATGAGAGTGATAATGTACTGAATTAGGAATACAAGAACATAAAATACAAGGAAATTTTCATCTATCCATAAGACTGATGCAAATAGTGGACTTTCAAACTGCAACTGATGTAATTTTTTAGTAAAATGGCCACAAGTAAATCTCAATCTGATATGAATAAATGAATATAAATGAATAAATGTATGATTGTGACTAATTGTATCAAAAGCACATTAGGCAAATAAATAGCAAAGATTATTAATAATCCCTAAACTTTCTCCTGGTAGTACAAAGAAAAAAAATAATGAAACCTTTTTTTAAACAACAATTACAATAAGTGGTCATTATCACCAACATTGTTACTATGATTTCATGCACTGAGTGAGTAGTAGCTACAGCTGGGATCACAACTGTAATCCAGACTTCAACTCTATGCTAGCCATGAAACTTTTACTTCCAAAGTGAGCATTTTAATCTAATTCTTCTGTACTTTTTTCTGATAGCATTGAGCCCATGATTGGCAGTGTCTGGAAAACAAACAGCAATATGACTTGCCACAGTGGAATTTTACCTCTAACCTGTGGTCATACAACCAGTGGAATTTGAAGGAAATTGAAACAGCAAATATCAACAGGCAGAGCATGTGTCTGGATGAGGAGGCAGTTACACGCTGTAGGATATCTTTCCTGCAAAATCTCTGTCAAGGAGAAGGACATTGAGGTCCTGGGCTTAAATGAGGCTGGAAAGATCCCTGGTTTCTCAGTTCAGACACAGTCATGGTACTACAGTGAAAAACTGTGAGCTTATCCTGCTCAGTGTCTCTTCATATCAACTGTTACTCTGAAAGATTTGGAAGCTGGGGTTTTAAATTTGACTTTTTTGCTTTTTTGTTTTCCCCTTTGAGTAGAAGTACAGCTATTCCACACAGATCATTGCTGTTAACCCAGGGGAATTGATGCTGCTGTGGATGTTTTTTACAAAGATGATTTGAAACTCCAGATTTCCCCATCCACATCATAGGATTTCTTGTTGTATTTTTGCTAATTGTCTTTCAAAATGATTGGAGCACCATAAATGCACCAAATTATTTGACTTTGGTCATATACTAGTAAGGATTCTGGTGTGATAATTTCGTACATTTTATGATTAATTTATACTGTGAAAAAAAAAAACTGTAATAGATGTTAATGTCTTTGGTTTTCTTTTTATTTGTGCCCTTTAGCAGGCACCAGCATCATGGCCTATGAACAGCAACTAAACAAGTATTCACCTTAAAATTAAAGAAAAGCCAGCAGGGTTCCTTAGGCAGTCAGTAGATGTGCAAACATACGCATGCACCTAAGGCATGCAATGTAGCATTCACTGATCGAACTACACGATGGCCTTGGACCTTCTGCTACCAAATCTCCATGCAAAATGAAGTTTATCATCTCAGAGCACTGAGCAATTCAGCTCCAACTACAAAACATCTGTCACTCAGAGGAGGGGACAGGCTTTGTGTGGTTTCATGGATATTGCCACAACATTTAGCGTGTCCTGAAAGATGTTAGAGAAATATCAGGTTTACATGTCATTTCCCTCACTGTGCAGAAAACCAAATTAGTTTGTCAGCAATTCAATCTGAGCTGAGAGCAGCCGGTCCCAGTTTACCAGCTATATTTGTAAAGGTGTTAGATGAGATCTTTAACAAAAAAGTTTCTGTGGTTCTTAAGCTGAATTGAAATGTGTTCACATTAATTTAAATACTCCTACACAGTTGCGTTAGTTCAGCTGGCAAACTCTCCAGAGGAGAGATTCTGTCAGTGAAAACATTAGATCATTGCAATGAGACACTATAGGCACACTTGTGCTCAGAAGTTTTTCTAGTCCCTGCTAGCAATTTGACTTGTGGCTAGGAGGACAAATACCTTCATTTTCATTAGTGGAGGCGTCGCTTGGTCAAGCTGTTTCATCCCTGGTACTAGGACAACTATCATTAGCTTTTCTATTCTGGTTGCTTGTTTAAAGCTGCAAAATATGATCAAATGCATTAGAAGCCTCATTTGTACCATCTCTTGTAACAGGTGGGGATCATTACCTGGCAAAAATGGACAAAAACAGAAGTTCTGGGTAAGTGAGTCCTTAGTACTCTGTTACAAAGAAGGAGATGACATTTCTAAAATACAAATTATTTAAAAAAAAATCCTTTTCTTTCATTCTCTCTTTTAGTATCTGCTTTTGTTGTTGTTTTCCATTCACCTTTAAGTCTCCTGCACAATTCTACCCCCTTTCTGCCAAGGTTTTATCCTGTTGACCCTTGAACTACAGCATGATCTTCCTCAATTTCAAATCCTACTTCATCTGATCTCCTTACACTTATATCTGTGTTTTCTCCTACAACTCTTCAGTTTTTTTCCATAAACATGTCCTTCTTTTTGCGGTCTGAGAATGAAACTCAACAATATGTGTCAATCTTATTTGGGAAAATATTCTGAAAAGACAAGCTATTAATTTAAATAGCATTGCAAAATGTCTTCCAGCTGTCAGCAAAAAATTAAACTTAGCCTCTCATCAACTTAAAGTCAGTCAGATTTTATCATTTTGGTTGAGATTAACAGCTCATACCATTATTCTGATGCTTAGCAGAAGGTAATTTGGAATTCATATAGCTGATGGCAAGGCTTGTGGTTGTTGGTTCTACTGACATCTCAGGCACAAACCCTTCTGAATTCATTAGAAACTAAATGTCGATAACAATCTGAATGAAACCTGATTTATTAAAAGCCAATTTTTCATATCTTGTGTCTCTTCAACATATGTTAACGTATTAATGTTAAGAAACTAATATTAATAGGTTAACATTAATTTGAATTTTGACCAATATTGTTTACCAGTATTGTTTAAATTACCACTTCCTCCAGGTGATATTTAGATTACCTAATACTTTCTTCTTCAATAAATCAGACAGTCTAATAGCAATAGTAGTCCATTATAATTAACTCTGGCTTTGGAACTAAAATTTTGATCAAAATAAAAAGGAATAAACAAGTAGAGATAAGGAAAAATGCATTTTTATTCTCATCGAATCTGAGAAACTTTTTCATTAGACAAAAATATCACATGAGATTACCTTTAAACTTCACATTTTGCATTTTAAAATACCATTAATTTTTTTTTCCTCTTTGTTTTTCTTTAGATTGCAGCAAATTCATGGGGAAAGTATTGGGGAGAAAATGGCTATTTTAGGATTCTACGTGGACAAAATGAATGTGATATTGAGAAACTGATTTTAACTACTTTGGGATAGCCACTGCCTTTTACCTGAAGTATTATAGTGTATGGTGCTTTGTGTATCTATTCTTCCACTGTTGTACATCGAGTCTTTCTAGACAAATAAAAAATTAATCTCTTATGTTTCTTTCTGCTGTGGTTCGTTAGGCCTTCCTGACTGAACGCACTGCAGCTATCCTAAGAGTGGTACAGTCTCACCCAGTACAAACACTCCTCTGTACAAATAGCAAATTGTCTCCAAGACTACTGACGACCTTGGTGTCTCACAGAGTGGGAAGTTCTTTCTCCTATTATTTACATCTCATCACTGTTTTGTTATATTAATGGTGACTGATTCAGCAATGCCTGAAAAAAATGGAGTTATATTGGTAGTGTTAATCTCTTTATGATACACACTGTGGTCACAAATCCCCTTAAAAATGTGATGTGCTCTTCACAGAGAATTGCTCATGGTCATAGTAGATAAAAAAAAGTACAAATTAATGTAACTAGAATTCTAATCCTGTTACAGAACAACTGTTTCCAATTCTAGCTTACGTAAATTGTATCTGTGTATCATTTTCTCTTCCAGGAAACTAATTTTTTATTGTAGGTTTCATAAAGTTTATGTATTTTACATAATATAAAAACTGCTTCTAATGAAACAACATATTCCCATTCCCATAACCGCAATTAAAAATGTGCAATTTAAATAGTTTAATTGAATGAAAAACTGAAAAAAAGAGATAATTTTTCCCTATTAAGATCTAGACAAGCTTAATTCCTCAGCTGCTTGTGTTCCACTTACTGTTTTACCCAGAAGCAGACCAATGCCAGTTCTCTCATTCTCTCAGTTCTCTTATTCCTAAAGGATATTTTTTCTGCCCTAGAGGAAAGGTCAGAAAAGACATTCTTGTGTTTGTTCCCACTGCCATCTCTGTAGCCCAGACATGGCTCCTGGAGCCAGCCAGCAAGATGTGTATCAGCAAGTAATTAGTAATTAAAGGCCTTTCCAGATCTAACACTCCCTTACTATTGCCACACATCCCCTCTCATCAGCATTGCTACAGACCTCAATGGGCTTGAGAGCCCTTCGGCCTGTGTATTTTTTAAAGTTTAGATATTGCCATTATTGGCATATGAAGAAATGAACTAATCTCTGTCTCTCTTAGTCTCTTTTAAATTATTCCAAAGGGCACTTGCCAACCTGAATCATCAGTCATAAAATTACCTACAAAAGAAACAACTGTGGCAAGTTATATAGATGGGGAGAAAATCCTGCCGTTAAATTACAGTAAACAAATATTCAGTGTGATTTTCTGTCTTTAATAGACTATTTCTCAGTCTTTCATTTCTAGAAAATGAAGAACTAGACTTCCATTATCATCAGCATAGGTGCGTAATAGCTTTTCCTTCAAGAGCAGTTAATGTTGGTAATATACAATAGATGTCCTTGCCACTAAATTAATGTTTCTTGAACTAAACTAGGGACTTGACTTGTAGTGGTTCACTACTGAAAGAGCTATTTTAAAAATGTTGTATCATATTGCTGCAGAACAATCTCTTCTGTGGCCTCTAGTGTCATACAATAAACTGAATTTAGACACAAAAACTTTCATCATTTGAAATCTATAGCGAACTATAACACAAGAAGTTTTGGAAGAGCTAAGCACTGTGAAAGAAGAATTAACTTGATGTTTTTACTCCACCCAGTTGGGTTGGAAATCACTCCCATTTCTCTTTTATTTCCTTGCTGATTGTATCCAAAATCAAAATGGGTTCTGACAAGAGATAAATGCAGTTACACTGAAGCAGAGCAGCAGGATTTAAAAAAATGTGTGTTTGGCATCCAGTGGGTGGACCAGGCCAAGATGCAAACAACAATGCTACATGCAGAAATGCTGCAGCACCAGGGGGGAGGCTGCCCATGCGGTGTTCTCAAGGTAAATAATTTCACAATGATTCACCCAGGAAAAAGTCTCAGATAGAATGAGAAAAATTATAACGAATCACTCATTTGTCTGAACTACGAAGAATTAACTGTTCCATTACACTGGAAAACTTTCTGCTTCTGAGTGTTTGGAGGAACAGATGGCATTTCAATAATTAGCAATTTTTAAAGTAGATTTTTTATTCAGTGTTCTGATGCTTCTCTGCTTCCTCTTCAGGTATTGCCTCTCAGTGTGTTTTCATTTGTGTATTAATCTTGTTATTATAAACATGCTCATGTTTTTGACAGTAAATTTGATATTGAAGTATAGATAAAGGTAAGCCATCTGTGTATGCTTCTAACTGAGTTCCTGTAAGTTTCCATGCAGTTTCAGAGAGGCTGTTAGAATTTACTCCAGCAGAGCAGGAGAATAAAAAAATTATCCTAATTCCTGGGCACCAAATTTTCTCGATAGACAGACCTCACAAGTGACAATTGCAGAAGAATGTGAAGGGGTATAACAGCAGCTTTGATGCCACCTACCTTTTCAGATTCTGTTGTACTACATTTAATAACAAGATAGCTGTCACATACACACATACAGAACTAGTTGCCAGGCTCTGTGTATCTTTTTGCCTCCCTTGGTATGACCAGCTGCCTTAATTTCAGCTGGGACAGGTAGTGAGCAAATGACTGTATGGTGCTTAGCCACCTGATAGATTAAGCCACAACACCTGCCTACCTGTAATCTACTCTACCCCTCTCTTGATTAGGCTATTGGAGAGAAATGTCAGAGATGCAGGAAAACATTGGACTATTTGAAGAGTAAGATAATCATGCAATCAACTTTTTGATTCTATTAGATTGATTTCCATATCTGATGATCACCCAAATAGAACAAGATGAAGGACAATGCAGCTCTGGCTGGAGTGCCCCTTTGAGATGTAAGCTGTGTTGCCCTCCATTTCATGGTTCTAGCAACAATCTAAGATCCTGTTAAAAGACCTTTTGGAGTTTAAAGCTGCATCTGTCAGTGTAGATGGAGCTAGTAGATCCATAGGCATTCCAAACCATGTGGCACGTTGGCCAGAAGTTCTTACTTTCATTCAAATATGCTTTTAAACCATCTACTTTCAACACACACAAAAGGCTTCTGTAAGTTATTGATTGTCTGTTACTTCTACTGCTTTTCTATTCAGAATGAAACTGGCTGTCTCTAGTATAACGTATTCATCAGTGGTACATTCAATAGCAGACATGCAGGGAAGGTCTTCTGAAAGTGGTTAGGAAGGCAGCCAGTCAAGTTCTATTGATGAACAGAGAAGTTCGGTGAATTATATTGGGTGCTTATGAAAAGCTCACTTATGTGTATTAGAAAACTGATTTATGTTCATAAAACTTCACTCTTTGCAGACACAATGTGACTTTAAAAGAGCATCTTAATGGAGTCTAGCTTGAACCTAAAATCAATATTTCATTTATCTTAAAAAGAGTCTTTGCTTTCTAAAATGCACAAAAAAAAAGTGCCTGGAATAAAGATATAGGAGATTCTGTCTGATAAAGCCATGTAATCCTTCATATACCAGCAGTACCATGCTGTACTTTGCTTTTTACTTTACACTGTGTTTTGTATTTCGATATGAACAAATTGATATCTGTTTTCCAGTTGACTTATCAATTAAGAGCCTGATTTAAAGTTACAAAATTTTGTGTATGATTGTACATACAGGTTCTTGTATTGGTGGCAGAGGCTTTTGCAGGTTTGCTTCAAGATCAGCTAGTTAAATGAGTTCACCTCTCAGATCTCCTGTAATCCACCATAACTGAGGTGTTCCATTGTAGAAAATGGCAGGTAACTGTGTGTCGTGGGCTCACATC